CCTATATGTAAAAGTCGAAATCAAGAGTATGCTATTCGAAGTTTCAGCGACTACAATCAAGATTTAATCGAATATGTATTGTCAGCTAATCAAGTATAAGAAACTTTTTTTTACGATAGTAGCAATTCAGGCATATTCAGAATTTTTTCTTTGATGGTGCCTGAAAATCATAAGAAGCTAATTCGAATGAAACCGACATTTAAAGTAAATCTCGGAGGATTTAACTGAACATTATCATAATCATATAATGAAGTAAGTTGATATTTTTATCATAAAAAAAGAAAATTGTTCATGCATCATTTGCATTCATAAGATATGGAAACGAATGAAGCTCATTTAGATCGATGATGAAATTATAGTCGATATTTATTCTAAATTCTTTTTCCTGTTCGTAAATAATTAATCATAATGACCATTCCATTTCGATTATTGGTTTTTGAAACATATTTTCAAAGGATCTGCTAAACTCGAAAAAGTTCATCTTTGGTGGAATAATATCTTGTTTTTTTTTCCCACTTTTCAATGATGCAGGTATCTTTTTTTGAGAAAAATCAGATTTTTCAGTTTTAAAAGACGGATCTCATTTGATTTTATCTTTTAATCAATTGAAATCTATCACCTGTAATATCTTAATAGTCGATTAAAATATGTTATAAAAAATTAAATCAAATGATATCTGTCTTGTAAGACTGAAAAATCTGATTATAATTAGATTAAGATCGCCCACTTGAGGCGAACATATTTTCGTTCCGTTCATCCCGAAATGGGTAGTACCATTTTAATCGGTTTTTGACCTTTTTATAACTATTTTCTTCTTTTTGTTCAAGTCCTACTACCATCTGCAATCTTGATAATTATATCGTCTATTTCTCATTCAACAGAGTCTCTCTGAAAATTTAGAACTTTTATATTTATATATCGATAATTTCAGCAAATGAAACAATGCAGATTTTTCTTCATATTTGTTTTATCGGTAAGTATACATTTTCAAACTTCAACAATAATAAAATCGATTGACAATAATATGAACAAATTTTATCTTGTATATTATAGAATAAGTATTCATTTCTGCATTCTAGATATGGCTTGTTACATCGACGAAAATATTATCTGTCATTACTTGGATTCAAACTATATTTCAGAGTAATTCTTTCTTTCTGATTCAATGATAAACAACATTGGTTATTCGTAATATACTAAAGATGCAAATTCAATTTGAGATAAATAATAATAGCACGACATAGATTATTTTTTTTCATCGCAAATACTGCACAATCGAATTTTCTTTTGTAATGAATTCATATCTATCCTATGATTTATTTCGTTTACCTCTCTTGAGGCTATTATCTGTATTCATTGTTTTTATACTTGCAAAGATCTACATAAACAACTTTGTCCGTCATTTGCTGAAAATCGAAAAAAATTTTTCAAAGAAAACTTCTGAATGAAAATATTTCTGTTGAATCTGATGCTTTTTCTCAACGACAGTGCTCGGTGTTGATTAATTAATCGGATTCTCTATATCGCCTACTAAAGCTTTTTTCAATAGCTAAAAGAGAATAAAAGAAGAAAACAGCTTAGTTTCATCAGATCTCTAAAGATTATGACATTCATTTGTTTTCAACATTAATATCTTCAGCTAGTGTCTCGACAACACATACATTGATTATTTAGCTAGAATGAAAGTATTGTTTTTAAGTAAAAAAGAACATACTTTCAATGCATGTAAAAGAGAAAGCAGCGTAAATTACAATTTTCTCTTCTTCTAGAAACGAGAAAATAAAATAAGAGTGTTCTCTTCTTTCATAAGTTTCTTGCGCTCATATAACTTATACCCTCAAAGAAGTCTTTTAGTATCTATTGGCTACGACTATACTTAGCGCACTAGTATGCTTTGAATAGGTATTAAAGATGTCAACTTTGCCGACACCGATTCTTCAAGTTATTCAGAATCAACTCATTCGTTATGTATCATTAACATTACTCGTCACCGGCACAATAGGTAATATTCTTAATTGTTTTATTTTTACACGTCGTTCTCTTCGATGTAATTCATGTTCGCTCTACTTTTTGGCAACGAGTATTGCTAATTTAATAGCACTCTATTTTGGTTTTATGACACGTTTATTAATCACTTTTGGTATCTATTTAACACCATCTCAATCGGATGTCTATTGCAAAACTCGCACATTTTTTACCTATATGCCTCTATCAGTATCAGCATGGTTTGTAGTAGCAGCATGTGCTGATCGATTTGCATCAAGTTCGTCAAGTGTTCGAATACGTTCATTTAGTCAAACTAAAGTTTCTCAACGAGTTATTTGTAGTATCCTTTTTATTCTATGCCTTATTTGGGCTGAAATGTTCATTTGTTTTAATGGAAATGCCAATGGTACAACTTGTTATCCAGCAACACCATTTTGTAATACATTCAATAATTTTAATCTACTAATTTTTTATAGTCTTCTTCCATCTATATTCATGTTTACACTTGGTTGGATGACTATTCGAAATGTACGTCATCGACCGTTTTATCGTCGATCGACTTTAAAAGATCGTCAACTTACTATAATGCTGATTGTTCAAGTTTTTTGTGTCGCATTTTTATCACTGCCAGTTTCTATTCAAAAACTTTATGCACAATTTACTGTTAATCAAATGAAAAGTTCAGAACGTATGCAAACAGAAAATTTTCTTGCTACCATTGTCAATCTTATTGGTTTGAGTAATGCATCAACATCATTTTACATGTTTACATTGTCGAGTCGAGTATTTCGAAAACAGTTAAAATCTTTATTATTCTTTTCAAGTCGACGACAAGCAGTTGTTGAACCTATTCAACCAATGATGCGAATGACAAAAAATAGAATTTGTTATTTTCAACAACAAGAAGCAAAAACAAGATTTTAAAGAAAAAAAAAAGCGATTTTCCAAATTGTATCAATAGACTATTGAGATGAACATCTTCGATTGAAAAGGCCACATAGAGGATCGATAAAGAGCTCGATGAACACTATTGGTTATATCATGAGTGGAGCTCTCAAAAACTCTAAATTTCACTAATGAATCTCAGTTTTGACCACAATCCGAAAACTATTCACTCTTACAATGTATACGTTCACTCTCCCAGTGATGCAAATGAATTCTACAACCATGGTATTGGTAATTATGATTGGCTGCATTACCATTAACAATCTTTAAGCTTGATGTAAACAAAGATTACAAATGCTCTCACACAAATAAATATCTCATTTTTATAATATTGTAAATATCATACGATTTTTATTAAGAAGAAACATCTAAGGTTGATTAGTTTCAGTATAAGATTCTAAAGCTGCTTATGATATTTGTTAGAAAAGCTTGTCATATGTGGTTTTAGTGAATTCAATACCCACATCTTCTAGATCTGAGCTCAATCAACAACAAAATCTGCTTGTTTTTAATCAGAGAAATCCATCTGACAAGATTTTTTTTAATCCTAATCCATCTTTCAATTAAACTCAAAGAAAAGTGTTAATGAAGAATTCAGAGTAATAAATTTGTCATTTCATTGTACCTTATATAAGGAAAACATTTCCTTAAAATCAAGTCCGATCGCTACGACTTTGACAAAGTGCAGACGATAAACTACATAATAGCCATTTTTCAATCTAATTTGCACTCTTCATTGAGATCTTATAGAATGACTCTTATTACATAGGTTTTTTTGTTTACCGTAAATATTTTATTCAAAATGAATATGATGATCAAAGAGTTCGAATCAATCGTTGAATTTTGTGAGAACAATATCTTCAAAAACATCAATATTTCATCTCATTTTAAAAAAATGAATTTCAACATACATCTTCACCCTCTTCTAACTATTCTGAAATTTTCTTCACAAAAACTTCAGCGAAATGAAAAACTAAAACAGAATTCGTAATCTGCATCGAAAACTGCATCCAGATGTGTATAATTCTTCCAAAAACATGAATTGCGGTAAATTTGCCTTGTACGCATCTTACATTTTATGAAAAACCATCCAAATCATCGATTGTGATCCACTATTAGAGATTTCAATGCGATACTTCAGTAGAAAAAGTTAAGTTTTTGCCAATTAATTCTAAAGACAGTAATAAACTGGGAAAATTTCCCATTAGTTGGCTGATTTATTTTTAAGATAATAAAAGACGTATGAAAACTGAAAATATCATTAGATAAAGTGTTTGAGAAGAAAGTAATGCTTCGTCTTCTTAAGATAAACTTTTCGTTGGAGATAAAAGTTCAACGATATATGATTTTCATCAAAATATGGTACGCAACTCTCAATTTAAATGATATTAATATACGACTATATTGATTTTTCAAGTTTCGTAGAGAAGGAAGAAAGTGTTAAGAGCAATAGAATAACCATTTATACAAGAAAAAAAATTATGATCAATTCAGAGCATTTGATTCGAATATAATGTTTGGAATTGTGAATATTGTCCTGATGTGTATCTGATCTACAGAGAACTTGATGAATTCGATAGTTATTCTTTTGAAATAATTGTCCATGGAAATTTTCTATGATGAATGTCATTGTATTCGGAAAAAGTCTAACATTGGATTTGTAGATTCATTGTCTTCATATTTTGATATTTTTTTTTCAAATAAAAGTTTTCTTGCTTTCAACAAAAATCAAAAAGAAATCTTTTTTTTTATTTGCATTGTTTTATCATCAAACTATCAGTGATCAATTTTTTATATTCGACCATGAACGTGTCAATGTTGTTCTTTTTTTCTTATTTTTGATGGGCATGCCGTGTTATCTTCAGGGAAAGTAATAATACGTAAAATTTTCAAATTACAGTTCGTTTCTATAATAAAAACATTTCAAATTCATCAAATTTTGTACCAATCATTTGTATTAAAAGATATGTCAAATTAGAACAAATTACTTGTAATATAATTTCATTGTCTGAATGACTTTCAGATAAGTTCATCAAATTTAAATGATAAAGTTGAGGTGTATAAGATATTTAAGTACGAAGTTCATTAAAAGTACAATGATAATTAATAACAAGATATCCGATAGCACTGAATTGTTCATCGGTAACAATAGGCAGCTGAGATGAATATGACAGTTGCTTCTGTTGAATATATTTAATATATTTCAATTTTGATAAAGCGAAAATTAATCGATGAAATTCACTTGATTCACTTAACATCTGCCGCATATCGATAATTAATGAGAACAGATGAGGTAAAAACGATAAATTAGTAACAAGTGAAATAGGTATAGTTGGTGAAAGTTCATCAATAACAATACATTCAATAAGATTCAATGATGAATCGATTGAAAATGACAAAAAAACTTCACTTTTTTGTGATGCTAACGATATATGAAATGAAAGTATTTGATTGGTGATTGAAACGCGATAAGAACATATCCACATAAATTCAAACCTCTTACAACTGTACCCACATCCTTGCCATTGAATTTATTTTAAGTCGTTGTTATTAGAGTAAATCAATGATTGAAAAACGATCGTAACCATGCTGAAAATGATGACATAGACTTGTTAGATCATTGTATTAAAAACCAACCGCTTGTTGTTCTTTTGGTCATTTTTCTTCTATCAAGGTTCGTAATTTGGAGAAAAATTCAATGTTTAAGATAACGTCGAGGTCATATCGAATTTCCAATTATCGAAGGATTACACCATCAGCGTCCTAGCTTTTGACGCAGGCGAAAAACAGTACAATTCATCAGATATAAAGATGAGTACTGTCACTTGTCTGCCTCATTCCAACGCAATCGATGGTATCAAAAATCACCTATTATTTCGTATTTATTTTACTCAGGTGATTATAAAATCTATTATTTTTCTAATCATCTAACGTCGAAAAATCTTTCTTTTAAGCCTTACAGGTTTGATTTTTATTTCGTTCTATATCTCTCGCTATTAATTTATTATGTCGATAGTTTGAGTCAAATCACAAATATACCATGGGATGTCTCAATATAATCGATGTTCGTCGAATAAAGCGTGTGCTTGCTTTCATATGACAGATGTTGATGACATCGACATTTGCGGCTTTCAATGAATAGATTGTTCTGAATTAGTTACATGCAAAGATCCAAATAACAATTGTCATGAATCGAACCAAATCTGTGTTCATCATACTCTATGTAACAATCTTCCTATTTGTTATCCAATGTCGATGATCGCATAACGAATCTGTCCGCTCATAGCAAGTAGAAAAACAAAGAGTGATGTAGGGATTCAATTAGAACTGAAATCTTACTTAAAATGGTCTCCTCGCCATTTCCGAGCTTTAGCATATACGATCCATGTTAACGTAGAAATGGTGAGAAAGAGCTAATGAATCCTTTGAGAAAAGTAGATAAAGCATGACCGAAACAAAATGAATGATAATCATTGGGGAAAAGCTCTGAACTCTGCGCATGAAACATTTCCATGAGTCTGAAATGCTGAGTACGTTACAGTTATATCTAGGAATACATGTGGACACAGTGAATGTTTGGATTTGTATTAGGGATAGAGAGAAGAGAATGCGGTTGTAGGTGTCCTTCTTTTGTTGTTTTTCTGTTGGCAACTACAGTCATGCATCAACATAAGTGCATGCCCACACCTTCTCCTTGTGTTCGATAGAAAATTTTACTGCTTTAAAGTTATAAATTCAGAACTCACAGAATGCAACCACTGTTGTGAAAACTTACAGACTCGAAGTTTCATATCATTTTTGATGTCAGAAGTAAAAGTATCTGATTTATTTTCACAAAAGTTCTTGGCTAATGAATAGGTATGAACACAACAACTATCACTACTATTGGACGGCGAGATAAGCTTCTGACTCATGCTTATTGACCTGAATAAATAATAATTTTTAATCAGATATATGTAATTACTTTGTAGATTGCATCATTCTACAACTGGCTAAAATTTATTTCAATAGAATTAGACATCTAATGTCACTAGTTATACTGTTTTTAGCATAAGCAACACTGAAATTATATTAGTCACAATACTGGATATTTTTCTTCACTAGTGAGCTTTGTTTCAATTACTTGGCATCTATGAGACAAGATCTGTGCTACCTATTTATTTGACACGCCTACACAAGTTGCCTTGGAGTGTGAATGTTTCTTTAATTCAACCGAACTCGCATCCATTCACAAGCAGAGTTCGAGGTGTTCACCGTGCAGAACTATGCTTGTGCCTTTGGATGCCATTTTTAATAATTAATAATCAATAATTTCTCGAGCGCGATTACTCTAGTGTCAAGTTCTAGGAAATATCATAAATTTTAATAAGTTGTATGGATATTTTATCCGATATCTAAATGTCTGATTTTTGTATGTTAAATCTGTAATAAGATCTTGAGTTTGACATGCATGCAAGATATCTCTGTGAAACTTTAGACTAAGTTCTTCTCTTATTCTATCGAAATTTATATAGATTCAGAATGGGTTTCTTAGTTTGTGAAATCTTCGTATTGAGAAAACTGCAAATAGGATACTTGAACTTTTGGATTGGATTTTATTTTCAGAAAAAGAACTGAATACAAACATGAACGAGTCTTGATCAAACTTCAGTTGAAGTATGGATTCGCTTGCAAACCAGACTCTGAAAGAGTTTTTTAGACTAATCGTCGACTTCATAGGACTGGGAGTGTGAAAGTATTATATAACTATTACGTGATCAAGTTCAAAAATGTTTCTCACCTTGTATGCATAGGAAAAATCTTAGTTGTTCTGGAAACGCGAGCAACAAACGCTCTGATCTATTTACTATTTTCTTAAAGACTTTTCAAGCTTTCTTGCGTAGGTGACTGCATCGTTTCTCTCGTTTCTTTGTGAGTGAGACGAGTACCTGTTGTTATTTTTAGTTCCTTATAGTCTAACCAAATATTCCAGTCGATGCGCGACGGGCTCAGAATGGAACAACTACTGCTGGAGGTCATGGAGCAAGCAATGGCTCTAATCAACTCTTCCACTCTCACTGTTTCTTCGTTCACGAGGATCAAACGATAGTCATCGCTGACCATTACAATCATCGTATCGTTCAATGGAAGATAGGTAATACAGACGGAGAAGTCATAGCTGGTGGCCACGGACAAGGAATTTGATTGGATCAATTGAATCAGTCAATCGATGTGCGAATCGACAAAGAGACAGACAGTCTCATCATTTGTGATGTAGGGAATCGATGAGTCCTGCAGGGGTCTCGTCGTAGTGGCACAACACGAAGAGAAATCCTCATCGATGACGTTTCTTGTTCAAGATTAGCTATGGATGATCAGGAATATCTCTATGTTTCTGACAGCAGAAACCATGATGTTACACGGTATTAAATAGGAGACAAGAGTGGAACTCTAATGGATGGAACCCATGGTCAAGGTAATGGTCTCAATCAGCTAAACGAGCAAAGTTACCTCTTTGTCGATCAAGAACAGGTTGTCTACGTGTCAGACAGCTGAAATCATCGTTGGATGAAATGGAATAAAAATGCAACAGAAGGAATAAAAATGTCGCTGGAGATCAAGGCAAAGGAAATGGTTCGGCGCAATTGTCGAGCGCTGATGGACTATTCGTCGATACGCTAGGTACCGTCTATGTGGTGGACGGGCCGAATCAAAAAGTGATGCATTGGCCTACAGGAGCAGTTGATGTGGGTGTGGCTGTGCGGTGTGGGGTGTGGGTGTGGGTGTGAGTTTAGAGTGTCGATGCGAGTGTGTCTTCTAGTTACGTACATCCACATTCACATCCAACACATCCCACCCATCCACACTCACATCCACACTCAACCTCTTAGAAATAACCATCGATTGTTCACTTTTTTCGTTTGCCTTTTATCATATATATGAAAGTGCTCTCATTATACTACAACATAAAATAAAGTCAAGAACGATTTCTTCTTCTTCATTCCTTTGATTAATCTTTAATTGCTCTGTTATTCTAGATGATCACCCAACAAACTTTAACACCACCATGATCAGCAACAAAGATACAACATCTGCCAAAAAAAGAATGCGAGGCGCATCTAAATATCCAAATTATCATGGTAATTCATTCATGATCTGTGCATTTCATTCTAGGAGTCATCATTCTCGACTTGAAACAAACAGGATCGTGGCATTCGAGATTCACATCAACACTCATACTCACACTCACATATATGCACCACACCAATCCATCACTTTAAACTCATCTTTTTCTTAAGTTCAGGTTTTATGTTCAACGATATTTATACTCAAAATATGGCTAAGTTCATATTGTGCCTCTAGACTTACTCACTTCAGAAATGACATGTCAATGTTCCAATAGAGTAGTTCGGTTGTAGTCGCCCATAAATATTAGATGTGGAATGCGATCGATAGTGGTATCGAATGTGATGATATGTTTAGAACGGACTACTTCATAGAGAAATTCAACCTCAGTTATATTTTTGAATAGACGCTTGAGTGCCATTATCATATCATCATAGCGTGTTTGACGAAAACTCGCTATGTGCTCAATAAACTGACTTGTACTCTGTATCATTGAATTATCATCTATGATACTGACATATCGTCGCAGTTTCAGCCATTTTGATATTGCGTATAAGTTCATATTACTTTCATTGCGATAAATATGTTTCTCAAGGTCTTCGTGGTAAACTATATACCATAACGATAGTTGCTCATAAGTATGATGAAAATTTTTGGTGGGATTATTATGATGCCACCATAACTGGAACAGATTGGCCACTATATTCCTATAAGGATTGTTTGACGCAACAATTGCACGAAACAAGAAAACACCGGCATTTGGAAAATTTGTCGTGAATGGTATGTCGTGCATGAATGCGATATCACAATTTTTGGTGTGTAAAAAATGGCACCCTCGATCACTAGAAACTATGTATGAGACGCTTTCCATGTACTTATCAAGACTCAGTGATTGATTATTGATAATTGCATCAGAGTCTAAATAGAGAAACCAATCATATTGGCTGCTATAGTTATTCAAGACATGCCAAACCACCTGTAATTTTGCCCAGGGTGCTGCTCTTTCTTGATTTAACACTGAATTGTAGCAAGACGCACCATTTTTAGGCGTGATGCTTATATTCGATTTATACTTTACGAAAAAATATTTGAAGTCATATCCATGCAGCACGGCATAATGATAATTAATTATGACTGATGCTCGAATAAAGGCACTGCTATTAGAATAATCTAGCGGCCTGTTATCGCTAGTGAATACTAGCACCCTGAGAGATTTACGACTCTTCATATCCGGTATAGAGTTCCAGCTTCCATACTTTTGAATACGAGAAATTGAACGAGAGATATGTAAAAGATAATTTATATCAGTGTTATCATGGTGAGTTATCAAAATGATAAAAATAATCAATGTAAAAATCAAGCACAGTCTAAAAGTTCTGTGGCGAAATTTTCTAAAAAGAATTGATATGCTTCGCATCATATATCGGACAGTAGACATTTTCCTACGATTCGATTCAATGCGTCAAACCATGAAACTAATCATCTTCCATAGAGTGCATCTAAAAACTTGTAGAAGTTATACTCCAAAACAATTCGTTTATTAACGAGCTTCATAACATTCGCAATTTGCATCGAACAATGTTAGGATTAAACAATCAAACATTGTTTCGTAATTTTCCTAGACATTTTCCATGTTTAGCAGACTTCTCAGAGCTTCACAATCTTAAAACAAAACATTTTGGTAATTTCATAGATTAGTTAGCGATTTCGCGCATTATGAACTAAATCATTGATAGATTCGTCGTCATACAAACGTTCTTTTGATTTCAATCTGAATTTACAAGAAAAAACAAATATACGATGTCAAAGTAAAATGCAGGACTTGTGGGTTTTTAGCATCATCATGGTCATATGTATAGAAAAATTTCCGTTTTTTTAAGGATACGACTCTTGGGCATCTTTAGAATTATCATGCTAATATATATACTATATATCACCTTTGTTATAAGGTGTGAAACGTCTTGATCTTCAGACTTATAATAACAGTACATACCCTTCAATCATGACTTTATCCTATGCATTTGATCGTGATAATTCTGAAGATTAAAAAGACCCGCCAGACGAGCAACCAACAGAAAAAGAGAAGAGTATAATACAAAATATAACAACATGGTAATTCTAAAACACCTATCAAACCAGCAAAACTCGCACTCTATAAAAAAAAGGGGATTATATACTATCATATGAGCCAATCTATAAAAGCCACAACCTGCTACTTAGAAACTTAGCTCAATCTAATATATGTTGTAGAGAGAAGAATCTTATAAATTTCGACGCCAGTAGTTTTAAAAAATATTGAATCCTCGATATTTTATGAGCGTTTCAGGAAATCCTAAAAGTGACTAGTCCAATAATAGAGATTCTAATGTGGTCATATCTCGGGAACTGATAGGCTGATTGAGCTGAAACTTTCTATAGACGTATATCTCTGTGATTTCTATTTATCACAGCATTTTTGTATCAAAATATTGGACAGTTAAAATTTTATGAAGTATCCCATATATGCAAAAAAACTAGATTCTTGGTAACTTTTGATTGCAACGTGTTATAGATCTAAAACTTTTATTGTAGATAGAATACTCAGAGATAAATCTCTTCTGAAAATTTCAGTCGTCTACATTGTTTCGTTTGAACAGAGCAATCCTCTCAAAAATTGGTATTTGATGAAAATTGAAGTTTTCAGGATAGGCTATGTACCAACTAATGAATTTCTTTTGAAGCAGATCCGTAAAAGTAGCAAGTATTCTCTCTGGGCTATAATCCTATAAAAAATTAACGCGGAATTTCAAAGAATGATCTTAGGAGAGTTATTAAAAAATACCAAAAAATGAACTCTTTCCTATAGTAAATGTACCCACGTTCACTCAGATATTACTCGAATAGCTTGATCATATGCGGCAAATTCTACCTAATAAAAAACCAGCATATTGGTCGTCTATTATCTTACATAAAAATATCCTTTCAAAATGAAAAAAACAAATTTTTAATTCTCTTAAGGAGTAGAGGGACTCAGATAATAAAATTTTATCTGAAGAGGCCTGGAGGAGTGCGGCAAAGTCTTTAAAAAAGAATTTTTTTTCATTTTGAAAGGGTATTTTTTTTAATGAAAGTTAATAGAGGGCTATATGCTGATTTTTACTAGGCAGAATTCATTTCTTACGACGAAGCTCTCCACGTAACTTTTAATTGAACTTGAAAACACTTCCTATAGAAAAGGATTCAATTGTTTTGGTATTTTTCGAGAACTGCCCTAGGACCATTCTCTGAGATTCCATGCTATTTTTTTATATAGTTGTAACTCAGAGAGAGTAATTTCAACTTTTACGGATCAGCTCCCAAACAAATCCATTTCTTGGCAGATAGCCTATCCTCAAAACGCCTATTTCCATTAAAAATCCATTTTTGAGAGGACTACTCTGTCCAAGCAGAACAATCTAGGTAGTTGAAATTTTTAGAAAAGATAGATCCTTGAGTTCCCTATCTATAATAAAAATCTCAGACCTTTAACTCGTTCCAATCAAAAGTTTCAAGCATCAAAGTTACCACGAATGTGTTTTCTTGTGTATATTAGGTGATTCATATGTTAAATTGAGCAAAATCTGACGACCTCGATTGAGCAAGGTCTTTTTGTGGCAAGTCATGACTTATATGAACTGGCTCCTATATCTTTATGTACGAAAAGCTAAAGGAGTTTTTAGAAATTCAAGTAAGACATCATACGTCTGGTTACCCCGTGAAGATCTCGGAGCACTCTCCTTTCTGAATAGTCCTTGAAGAGTCATAAGCACTTCTGGATTGGCCTTGAAGAGTTAGAAATAGCAGTCCATGACTTACACGGAATAGATGTATTGGGACTAATTACAATGCTAAATGAATATTAACATCAAGACATTAATTGACTCTAATTCCAATAATTCTTTAGCATTAAACTTACTGATTGATACCAATGTTAGTTCTAATGCAACATCCCTAGTATTAGCTGTTTTTTTGACGATTCCAAGTTCAATGATGATAATCGATACGGAAATTTAATCAATTCTATTACATTGTAATCAATACCTCTAGTGATGTTAGACGAGAAAAAAATCATAAACTATTGATGAAAATTAATTACTTAGAAAAATAAATTCTAGGTGCTTAGTAAAAAATTGTACACAACCGATTACATCTCAGAATTGATGTTACTTGATTCTAATAAAAAATCAATGAAAATCATCGATATGTTGATTTTTAGCCTTAGTTTTTTTAACATGAATGGTGTTGACTGTACCTGTTTCTCGCATCGATCTCAACATCTGAAGCTGGTTCCGTACGTATATTTGAGCTGGAACCAAACTGTGGAGAAAAATTATTTTTCCTACTCACTCGTAAAGGAATAGTTGAAGTTCCGTTCCCTCAAGACTATACTATCTATCAGTAAATTTTTACTAATGAAGCGTAGCTATTTGCTTATGATGTGCGATAAGTAAGAAGAAAAACAAATGAAGTTGTACTTTAATGCATATTTTTTCAACCATTCGATTGATTGTTAATTACCTTGAATTAATCTTTGCGAGTCACGTGGAACATAGCAAGCAAAATGAAGGTAATTTTTTTCACAACCAAAAGTATGTATCTTATGTATGTATACTATTCATGTATATTATGTACATGGATGAACGAGCAAAATACAAGGTAACTGTCTTTGTATATATGAGCATAATAATGGTTTGCTGTTACCTATAGCATAACGTCACTACGCTTCAGTTTCCATGTGATAGTGGAGGAGCAAGATTTCGCAGGCGTACAACGAGCAAAAGTATGTCCTTCACAAATACAGTCTCTGCATATAGCTTTTATGCTATTGAGTATCAAGCAATTTTTCTCTCAGATTGTAGAAGCATTAAATTTTTTATAATGTTTTTTTTTGTATCATTACTATATATTGGTGAAGCTATCACCAGATTGAAATTTTTCCACGTTGGATTCACCCAGGGTATGGGGGTGGGTGTGCTTATCGTCCTTCTCTTTTCAAACATCCACTGCCACGCAGCCACACCCACAAAGAAAATTTTTTCTCAAGGTTCTGTAAGAAATCACAGTATCGACGTCACTACTTTTGGGTATGCCCCAAGTATTTTCTCATTCTAAATGGTATGATATTGATTTTATTGATTATTCGTATGAATTAATTGGCATCCGCTCATCTTACTTAAAGTCTTCTTATATTTATCGATAAAAGGCATGAGGTAATCCAGCTCCTACAAATTTCTATCAGTTGTTAATTACTCTTTCAAATCGTTGACTTTTTTGCATACATTCATAATCAATGCCTTTGAACTTTTTCTAGCATTCGGTAAAACTACTGTTCACACACGACTTAAGTCTGCTGTAATGAATGAATATAGTATTCGTACTAATGGTGAAATATATGATCATCGTAAATCAGCTACTCTTGAAGGTTTTGATACATTTGTCGATGAAACTAGCGCAGCGGGTCTTCAAGCAGGGCATATGGATAGTGACAAAATGATCTTTTCTAATGAAGGTGAAATTATTCTGAAAAATAACGGTCTATTAGTCGACGAAAACGTGGCTACATCATCAGCATTCGATTTACATACTTTCGTGTTATCATATTATGTCAGTATTTATTTCTATGTGCATGACTATATTTGATATCATATTTTTTCATGAAGGGTTCATTTCGAACTTTCAACAAGGAACTAAAATCTGGTTCTTTAATAGATATTGTTGACCGTCTTACCATCAGTCGTTGAAGTACCAGTGAATCAATTATTCAAATGTTAGGTCGTCCTTTTAGTGGTGGTACGGTTTCTTCGATGTTAGAACGTTTTACTATTTTGTATGTTAAGACAAAGCGAAAGTATTCTTTTCAACAACCAAAAGTCATTCAACATACAATGACATCGCTATCGCAATATATTATGGTTCTTGGTCAAATATAAGCATTTGGAGTTTCTAAATGTAATTTGAGTTTTTCCTGTTTAATGATTGACCGCTTATCCTCGATGTTCCTTTTAAAAAAAATGCATTTTGTAAAAAATTTCGAAAAATAGAAGGCGACTGATTTTTCCAAAAAAATAAAACTGTAGAAATAATGTTTTCATAGTGGTGTTGACAAGCATTTGTTCTTTCAAAGAGTCGGTAGTTTTATTTTTCCTTTGAGGATCTTGCATTAGCTATGAATTCGTTGAATATATATGAATGAAAAAAAATACGTTTTTTCAATACTGTATATAGAATATTAAATGAATATATTTTTTTCACAAGGACGTTAAGGGTATTATCATAGTTTTTATTTCAAATTTAATATCTTTAGAACTTGAAGGAAAGATTACTTTCTAAGTTCGACATAAATTTCTATGTTGATGAAGATGCTGAACAACTATACGCTTCTTATGGTGATGCATTAACATTATCCAGTAAATATGTAATATAATTAATTTATTTCAATACTATGATTTTGTCATTTTCTTCTCAGTAAAACAAAATGGACGCGATGCTCCATGGTTGAGCACTCGACTTGGTAAGAGTCGAGATCATTCTCTTTGATTATGTGTTCTTATTCAGAGCTTATATATGGCAGCTATTATTTGTCATGACGTCTTTTTGAAAGATTTAATATTTACTGAAGACTTTACCAATAAGCGATTTTTTTTATAACAAACATCAAATATGCATTAAACCCCTCTGCAGAATAGAAGCCCACTGGGCTTCTAATTTGTTTTGAAAATTATAAGTTTGAAGGTGGGCTTAAATTACGATCAACTTTTTTTCATTTTTTTGACCCTTGATGAGTAACAATTGTTGTTCTTTTTTTAACCATTCCCGAATCTGTTTTCGATCACAATGATGTTGTCGACTAACTTCAGAAATATTTTTGCATTTTTTAAATGCATTGATAACATTTAGTTTTTCTTGAACAGTCCAAGATCGACGTTTTGAAGAAGAATTTTCGATGAATTTGTCGTTGCTGTAATGAGATTTTGTTGGTTGAATCAGATTAGTTGTTGTATCACTCATGGAAGATATTGGAATGTCAATTTCAGCTTGTTGTTGATCATCATCTTCTTCATTGTCTTGTAATTCGTTGGTAATATCCGTTAAATCTATTACATTATCAAGCATTTGAATAACATTTTCAATTACTTCGTCGTCTGAACTAATTGAACAGTCAGACTCGATATCAATTTCTTGAGTTAAAGAATGTAATGGTAATAAGTGAGTTTCTTCCATTCTAAATAAGTTTTTATTCACAACTTGAATGAAAATGAATTACTGTTACGAATCGATAGAGAATTAATGTTGCAATAAAAGTATTAAAATGTAAATATATGATTGTTTTTATATCGAAAATTAGAACACAATAAACAGAATTATTTTTTCTATACAAAATTGTCGACGGTCACAATTGACGAACGAAGTTCAATAGTCAAAGAAGAAGATATACAAAACGAAAGAAATAGATTGACGACATGAGCATTTAATTTAAAAAAATTGAAAATTATCAATAGAATGTTTGTCTTCTTGATTTCTCTATATATACACATTTCGAGTGGGCTTCTATTACGTCCGAAAAACTATAACTTTGGGACTGGGCTTCTATTCCGGATGGGCTTCTATTCTGCAGAGGGGTTTAGTCATAGTTGCTCAAATACTGGTTTTCTCAGTCATTGATTGAATTCAGTATATGTGGAGCTTAAATGATAATTAGTTATCATAGAACAAGGCTTATAATGGAAGGCCTAAAATTAATGCATATGTAAAAGAAATATTGTGTATCGGCTGTTCGTAATTACTCATTGTGTTGCATGTCATGGGACAAAAAAAATCTCACCTACGTTTTATTGGGGACATGCGTCATGGAAAGAGAACAGAATCCTTTTTTATTTTATTTTTCATATGACGTCAATGCGAAAGCATCACTGTGTCGTTTAACCATATATAAAAGCGTCTGAAATATTGCATTTATAATATAAACCTTTATCTATAAAACGTGAGATAAATTGAATTATTGCCTACGTGTAGATTTGCTGCACGAAAAAACTAAAATAAATCAATCTGTTAATATGATACCAATATCGAATAATCATATCGATATAAAAACTGAACAACAATTGCAAAACATATATCAACACGATATAAAAAGCACTATGTCAAATCATTTGCAATCAAGTAATTTGAAATGCTTGTTTTTTTTTTCTTGTTGCACATGTTATATATTTATTAGACATGTTTGTATCGTCTCATAATCTATTTCAAACTAATAATTCATTCGCTCGATCGAATACTATTGATAGTGAGTGTTATAAAAAAAAAAAAAAGCTTTTTTAATCTAATACATTTTCATATTACTTATTTCAGATGCAATACTTCCAGAAAGTATTGCTCAAGATATTGATGAATTGTGCAATAACCTAACGATGTTCGATGATATAACATCATGTATGTCAATTGTGATTTGTTTATAACAAGAATATTTATTTATTTATTTATTTTATTAAATATTCTTTTAGTTGATCCAATACAATCGCCAACTGTGATTCCAATTGATTTTATATCAGGTATGTTTAGATTTTAAAATAAATTTAAAAATATAATTCCAGAAATTTCTAATTTGTTTTATAGAGCTAAATAATTTGATACAATGTGATCCTATACAAGTGTCGAATGATTTAGAGTGTCAACAAAAATGTAAGATTTATCTTTTTTAATTATTTATTTGAATTATTTTGAAATTTTCTTATTTTAGTTCTTCCATTTGGCATTATAAAATCAGAAAAAATTCAAATAAAATGTCAACCACGTTCGAAATTTCGTCCTCGAACACAGAATGAAAGTAAAACTTCTTCCCATTATTTACGATGTGACGAAGGTGCTGAACTAGATTACCCTGCTATATATGTAAATTATCAATTAATAATCTCTAAATAGATTAAAACAAATTTTTTTCTTATATTTTAGGTACCTCAGATATGGGCTTGCCAATCAGATATAAATATTATTGAAGTTGCTCTTGTCGATATTGAAAAACAACCACATCTCTATTCTATTGATAATAAAACTAGTAAATTCTTATACGATGATCAAGCATTAATTTTCAAAGATGGTCCATCAAATCAATTGTATTTTCGTTTAACGGATCAAGATTTTAACAATGGTTATAAAACGTAAGTTAATCCTAAATAGACTATTTTATTTTATTTAAAATTTTAACTTATATATTTTTTTGAATAGTTTTATGATTGAATTCATTAAAAGTAAACAAGATGATATTATTACTAAAGAGTTAATTCGATCACGAAAACTTTATCAATCAATGCTTCGTTTTACACGCATTTATCGTGATAAATATGGTAATTTTCAACGAGATGATATAAATCAAAAATATTCTTCTATAATGACAGAACGTAAGAATGACATTATTCTTTTTTATTTTTCAAAACAATAAAAATTTATTTTATTTTTATAGATTATGGTGATGTTTCTGTTGAACATATCAGTCCAAAATATGGTCCAATTAATAATCAATCAATGGTATTTATTGTTCTTAAAGGTCGTTTTCTTAAAGATGATTTATCTATTATGATTTGTGAACAAACAACTCAATGGTCTCATGAAATAAAAAAAATTATCTTAAATGGCAATGTTGTTTATTTTAATATGCCACCTTTTCCATATCTATGTGTAAATAATGTAAAGGCAAGTGTAATTATTTACTATAAAAATCAAAAAATTCATCAATCGTCTTATTTATATATGAACTTTTCGAATGGTATGTATATCTTGTTTGCATCAAATAGAATATTTTACTATCTTATTTTATTTCTTTTTTTTTTCTAGAAGAACTTTCTTTCAATGAATCGATGTCAAATATTGACGTTTCCATGCCAAAAAAGAAACTTAGTCAAGACATGGTCAACAATATATGTTGTATGCCATTAATACCTCAAAAAATCTCACAAAACAAGCCTATAAAACGTTTAAATAGTAAATTAGCTTAAAGCATTTATGAACAGATATCCAATCAGACCGTTTCATGTTTTGGATAGATAATTAACTGTGTCAGATCATTTGGTGTTTACAAATGTCTTTAGTATTCAATGATTGGACATTCGAAAACAGCCAAAACAAAACTTTTTTTAGTTTTATTTTTGTTATATATGTATCTATATATATAGTTTTTGATATAAACGACAATAGAATTTTATCAATTTATCAAATTTTATGATCAGTGTTTCACTTAGCATGAATACTTGTTTGTTCGCCCTACAGAAGTTTTAAATTGTTTCTTGAGAAGAAAAGATCTTCATGAAGCATGGTTTATAATTGATTCAAATCAGCATAAATTCATTGATTACACCTCATATTAATTGACTTCAATTGAGAAACAATAATAATTTTCTTATACGAACAGGAAGTTCTTAGATAATCGAACAATAATAAATTTTATCTTTTTTTAAATTTATTCGAGAGAATGTGAGTGCAGGTGTATGAGTGCGGGCATAGGTATAGGCATAGGTCTGGCTATGGATGTGAATGTAGATGAAATGAAGAAGTACACACACAATAATGGATACAAAATTTCTGAGCACATACTCATGAAGAGCATAAAATTCTGGATCGCACTTATAGTTTTTGATTCTTCTGAAACACTTACATATGGGCGAAATATGAGCAAACATTTTGTCTCAAAACTTTCCATTCACCCAATCACATGACGAATTATTACAACGAGTTAAAAAATTCCATCTCTCTTAAAACGTACCACTCTATAACTTGTAATAAACAGAACACTACTGTACAAAATGAAAACAAGAATATGGCTTCTCTTAGTAAACAGTCAAACAGCATTAATCTATGATTCATGTAAAAAAAGTCACCATACATGCTGCAGAATAATCTATCTTTTTTCTTTCGAACTCGAAGTATGTCAGGTGATTCAGAAGAAGTCCACAACATGTTGAATTAATTTCTACAATATAATAACGTACAATAAAAATATTGGACACTCTTCATAAGTGAAAAAATTGGTCTACTAGGTTGCTATGTGCGATTTTAAAGTACGTATGGGACAAAAATTATTCTCCATCTAATGGTACCTTTTCCGATGTGGTTTATCAGAAAAAAAAATTTGGATTGGCTGTGCACTTTGATGTGGATGTACAATTGGATGTGAGTGTGGATGAGCGTATTCTATGTCCTGAATGGGGAATCAATGCTCCTAAAAGTTAAAACTGTTTAAGAAAAGTATCGTAAATGATGTATAGTCACCCCATATCCTCACTCACACACATTCAATTCAAATTTTTCGCTTGACAATCACCGTCAAAAATGACACTATTCGATAGAAGATAATCCATGCTAACTTTACTTACGTATTTTCGCAGTTTTTTACTTTGACATCTGTTCTCGAAAATTTTTACAATTAAGTTTAGCTGATTTGGGTGTAGGTGTGGTTGATAAGCAGAGTAACACCAATACCCCACACTCACTCTCCAGACCCACATCCACACCCGTTACATATAAGAATATGAAAATATTCGTCACTT